AGGCGGCGGGCGCAGGCCCGGGCCCATGCTGGCGGCTGGCGGGGGTCCCTGAGCGCCCTCGGCCGCCTCCTGCTCGTCCTCGGTGGCCTGCTTCCTGAGCATCTTCTGCGCCGCCATGATCTTCTGGCGCTCGCTGATCAGGTAGCACTTCTCGCAGAGGCACTGCTTCCAGCGACACTTGCCTGCGTGGCCCTTGACCGGTACCAGGAACCCATGGTTGCGGCACCTGGAGCACTTGGGCGTGCGCAGCGCGGTATCAGCCAGCTTGGCGAGGTCTTCCCAACACAACCGCCACCTCTGCGAGCTGCCGAGCAAGTGGAGAGGAATTCGTGGCGCCCCACAAGTCCCTGGTGCTGGGGACATTAGATACACTTGTATCAAAGCTGTGCTCAGTGCGCCCTGCACCTGCAGCAAGACCCTTGCATTTTCCCACCCTTGCTCTTGGGTGCAAAAGTTGGAGAGTTCCAGTGCCTGGAGTGATTAGGTGCAAGAAATCGGGCTGAATTGCATCAAAACAGAAAGCTATTGCATGCACATCATCAAAGTTTTCTGAAGTCTTAGCCATTTCAAAAATTTCTCTTCCCGCCAACTCGTAGACAAGGTATTTTGTAAAGTTAAAAAAAAAAAAAAAAAAAGCAGAGTGATACACAACAGGCTACAAAATTGAAACTCTTGAAACTGCAGCGCTCAGTTATCATTTCAGTAGAAAAGCATTGGAAGGCCTCCATTTTGCTCCTCCCCAAAGCTGCTGCTTCTGCTTTATTTCATTTCTCGCCCCCACGTAGAAGCCATTCTAGTGATGCTTCCAGAATGTTCTCCGGTCGTTTGTAGTATGATGGTTGCTCAGGGTGTGTCCTCACACAAATTCTGATATCTTGGGGTTTGTTGGTACAGGAATGCATTTCTGGAAGACGGCATATTGCTGTTGTTCATACCTTCCAAAGTAAAGCATACTTAGAATAGGTCCAAACCCCGTCCTGGTGCCCTCGCACCCCAACACCTCCCCTCACCCGTTACTGGGGATTGAGTCCAGGACCTTTACCCTGAGCCACATCTCCAGTCCCTTTTTTTTTTTTTTTTTTTTTTTTTTTTTTTTTGGTTTTTCTCTGGTACCGGGAACCAAACTCATGACCTTGTGCTTGCCAGGCAGGCGCTTTGCTGCTAAATCCCCAGCCCCTCTCCAGTCCCTTTTATTTTTTATTTTGAGACAAGGTCTCGTTAAGTTGCCGTGGCTGGGCTCAGCTTGCCATCCTGCCTCAGCCTCCCAGAGTGCTGGGATAATAGGCAGAATGTGGTGGTACTAGAGATTGAACCAAGGGTCTTTGCACTGAGCTACATGTCCATTTTTTTTTTTTTTTTTAAACTTTTACTTTTGAGAGTGGGTCTTGCTAAATTGCTAAATTACCCAGCCTGGACTTGAATTTGTGATCCTCTTGCCTCAGCCTCCCAGAGTGCTGGGATTACAGGTGTGCACCACCATGCCTGACTTTTCTTTTCTTTTCTTTCTTTGTTTCTTTTTCTTTCTTTGTTTCTTTCTTTCTTTCGGGATTGAAGTTTTACATTTATGAAGGGTAGGGAAATACTGCTCTGCAGAGTGAGTGCAGGCCAGTTAAAGGTAGGAAGAGAAAAAGAAATACGTTCTGCAGGGTTAGAGTGGGCCACTGGAAAGAGAGAGGGCAGTGGCATGGGCTTTTGTTTTAAAATAGTTTTGGGATATACTGGCACTAACTTGAATCATTTAACTCTTACGAATTTATTTTCCCTGTAAAGGAACTCAAATCTAGGAAAAGCTTCCACAGACATTATAGTTTACCCAAGAACATTAAATTATTCATATTCTTTGTTGATAGAAATTTGTGACACCCTGAGGTCTTATATCTTGGTACAAAAATGTAAGGGGGAGCATTAATACCAGTGGTGAAAATTTTAACATAGGATGGGCCATATTTAAAGAGGTAGTTTTAGTTAGTACCTGACTAAAATAAGCACATTTTTCATTGCCCTTTGAAATGTCTCTTTCTGGTGATAGAAAGGTAGAAGCCCAAGCCTGGGGTCCACCTTGATTTTCCTGAATCTCTGATTGCAGCTGTACTTTGCATTTCTCTCCAGCTGTCTGGGAATAGGAATTGGGTGCCATTTTGAGACTCATTAGACCCGAGTGCTGAAAAGAGGATCATAAGGGCTTTTTCTGCTATGCCTCATTTTAACAAGAGGGCAGACTTATGTTTCTTGTATTATTTGGCCCTACAGGAATTTTACTGGCAGTTCTGCGTACATTTAAAGAGGTCTAAATTTGTCTCTGGCTAATACCCTCTATGTTAATTTTGTTTAAAAATATGTTCCCTTAAAGGATAGGCGAGCTCTTTTTCTGATTCCACCTAATTCAAAATGTTTAGTTTCTGCCAACTTTGTCATTTGAAAGTACTGCATAGAAGCCGGGTGGTGCTTTATTTATTTTAGGCTGAGGCAGGAAGATTGCAAGTTTGAGACTAGCCTGCACAACACCAAGACCCCTGCCTTGGGGGAAAAAAGTACAATTTTTAAAAAGTATGATTTTTAAATCATAGTGCTGTCAAAAAATCTGGGGCATAAGCTGTGTTGAAAAAATGAGGACCAGGGATATAGTTCAGAGGCACAAGTGTTTGCCTGCCAAGTGCAATGTCCTGAGTTCTATTCCCAGTACAAAAAAAAAAAAAATTATACTGCAAACTGCAAGGTCATTTTCTACATTATCAATTTTAAATTTGAATATCAAGTAACATCTGATAATAAGGCCTAAAAAAGAAAACTACTCATTTATATTTCAAGCTTGACCACCCAAGCTCTCTTCATTTTCTCATTAATGATTTAAAGGAAAATCCTATCCAAAAATCAAGCCACTTGAGTTAACATATTTTAGCCTTATTAAATATAAAATGCTTCTGTATTCACTGTATAGCTTCAGGGGCAAAATATACCCAAGGGGATGTGAATTTGTGCAGTGCTTTGAGAACATTAATAAACAACCATATATCTTTTTAATCACACATTATAAGAAGGAGAAACCTTGGAGGTTAAATAATAAATCTAGGAAGAAGAAAAAAGATTAGTTTATTTCTGTCTTCCCCGCAAAGCCTCAATTTGTGTAGGTAAAGTTCAGTAGAGCTTTATTTATTTCACTCTTGGAAATTCAGGCAAATTGATAGTTTTATTTAGGTTGAAGACTACGTCTTAGGCTGCTGCTTTTTAAAAGAAATATATTCACTGCATATTTTAAAAAATTATTATTATTATTATTTTGGTACCAGGAATTGAACTCAGGACCTTGCGCTTGCCAGGCAGGCACTTATGCCACTGAGCTATATCCCTGGCCTAAGTTATTTTTTTTAAAAAAGCCATATGATATAAAAGTAGGAAACTCAAGGTGAAAAAGGATGGGACTATAAGAACACAATGGACTACTTCCCTTTCCACACGCAAACCTTAGTCAGCAACATCAAAGGCAGTGGTAATAAAGTAATATGTTACAGCTGCAGAGCAATGACCAGTCTGACTAATTCATCACAAAGGGGCCGCTTAGTGATCATACCAGATGCCCAGCTTTAGATATGGCCCCTTTTCTTTCCAAGGTTCCTAATGCCTCTTTTCTTTGGTTAATATGATTGTTACTGGTATTGTTTAATTCATGTGTATTGTAAAGAGCCTTGCATTATGCGGTACATGGGGGTATCAGTTGTAATCACTAACTAGTGCAGGCACTAGAATGTTTCCTTACTGGCACACACAAGAGTAAGGAAGGACGTTCTTTCCTGTAGCATCTTTCCCCCAGCAGCTATAACCCAGGTATCTACTCTCTTCCCTTTCTTCAGGTTCTTAAAGCAATGAAAATAAAAGCAATGAAAACTTTATTGAAGATTTCCTGGAGAAGGGGAGGGCAGGGATTATACATCCTGTAGCAGATGCTTTAAAGTCCTACCGTGGCATTTCTCTGTCCCAAGATCCTCCCTTCTGAGCAGCACTCAATGGTAATGTGGTCTGACCTCAGGACCCAGCCTCTCTAGTTCCCCTCCCTGTCGTAAGGGATGTTGCTGTCTTGTTTTCCTTTATGTCTAGCATTCCACAGCCAATACTTGTGGAATGTATGAATGACTCCTTCTTCCCTCTCCTGCCAGTATCAAAGTTATTTCCTCTCTGATTGGCATAGGAAATTGGCTTGGTTTCAGCACTTTCCCCAAACATCATGCAAATGCTTAGTAAAGCAGAAAGCCCACAGTGATTGGAATTACTCCTCCAACAAGCAGAATTAGGGGATCAACTTTGGTTCTTTGAGCTCAGCACCTACCCTTAATGGTTAATAATAGTACTAATAATAGCGAACACTGACTATATGTGTCAAGAATTAGTAAATTCTTCACTTGTATTAATTCATATAACCCGCACAATGATTCTAAGGCAGGTACTGTTACTAACCCCCCCATTCTAGACATGAAGGCCCTGAGGCCTAGAAAAGTTAAGAACTCAAGGTTTCAGAGACATTAAATGGCAGAGCCATGGTTCAAAACCAGGAAATTAGTCCTGAAAGTCTATATTCTTAACCATATATTTGCTAAGTCAAATATCGCTTCTAAACAAAACAATGCTCTCCCAAGCAAGCTTTGGTGATTAATAAAAAATTTTTTTTCTTTTTTTATTGTACTGGAGATTGAACCCTGGGCTATATCCTCAGCCCCTCCCTTTTTTATTTTTGAGCTAATTGCAAAGTTAACCAGGGTCAAACTTGGAGATCCTCATGCCTCAGCCTCCCCGAGTCCTGGAATTATGGGAATGCTAGACATTTTTTCTTATTATATATTTCTTTACAGCTGGGGCAAAAGGGGTAAAAGTGTTAGCAAACTAGGAAAATTTCCTAAGATGCCCTGTTTAGCTGTTTTCCTCTACCCAAGGCTGATATTTATTGAGTGCCAAATATGTGGTAAACACGAAGCATACAGAAATTAAAAAAGCAAAAAAAACAAGATACTTGTTTTTTAGGCCTATGTTCTAGCCAGCAAACCATACAATAAAGTAATTCTAGTTGGACGAAAGTTGGGGTGATAGTACCAGACCTAAATTGAGGCTGCTTGTCAATCAAAGGACAATACTCAAGAAATAAAGTGAGTGGGAAGGGAATCAGTGGTACTCTAGGGCCAGCCCTGAGAAACTGAAGAAGCTGTCTTCCTTAAAACTTGTGGAATGTGTGAATGACTCCTTCTTCCCTCTCCTGCCAGTATCAAAGTGGGTCTTAGACCCACCAAGGGGCTCTCAAGGAGGGAAGGGAGTGCATTGAGCAGGAGGACTGTGTACTGAGCAAGGACATTGTCATCCAGGTGTGTGTCTCTTTTATTCTCCTCTGGTCTAACATCTAAGTGGACCTCAATCTCCTGTGGCTCGTTGGTCTGTTTCTTTAGATAGATTATTTCTGCAAATTAAAATTCACAGCAATTTACACGTTTTGTGGTAGTTGATGCATGGAATTAAAGAATAAGGAGTGGCATTCTGGATTGTATCTGAGTGCCACTAGATGTTCTAACTTCTCTAAACCTAAGGAAGAATTGAGTAGACCCTCAAGTGACAAGT